AATCTGTGTGCCAGCACCTCAGAAGCTCACTAATAAACACATCTTGTTTATTTAATTTAACAATTTATTTAAGATGATAGGTTGTGGGTTCACGGTGCGGGACTATTTCTTGGCTGGGCGTAGTGACTTCATGAAGAACAAGACAAGCTGTTTCCTGTCTTTATGCTAAGCTAAGATAAGCTAACAGGCTGCTGATAGTAGCTTCACATTTAGCATACAGATATGAGAATGATATCAATCTTCTCATCTAACACTGTTTCTGATGTGAGTTGTTAGGAAAAGCAAGTAGTTTTAAACAGGTATGGCAGCCTTCTTTGACTGTATCACAGCGCTGTGAGGACCCACATGACACCTCAATGACTTTTATACTCAGTTAAATATTTGTCCTTAATTTACTTTTCAAAACACAGTGTAATTGTATGAGTGGATGACCACAGAAAGAAGAGTACACCAATTGTTTTTCTTGTCTTTTTCTTTTCTATTTTCTTACATGTGAAGGGAGGGGTGGGATGGGGCAGGTAATGTTCTGCTGACTGCCTCAATGTTCTGCCTCTTATTTTCTGGAAAAGTGATGGCCAAGCAAATATAATCAAACTCATATCTCATGTTTCTGGGTCTTGTCTTTTTGTGTGTTCAGTGAGCTGCCACACTCTCCTCGCTCCCTGACTGCCCGTCTCAATGACTCTGACTCCCGCTCCGTCCTGCTGTCCTGGCTACGCCCTTTTGATGGGAACTCCCCGCTTCTGTACTACCTGCTGGAGCTCTCTGAGAACAGTACGTGTGTGTGTATGTGCGTATGTTTGTGTTTGTGTGTCTGGGCATATTTTATAGTCCCTGAGCGGCAAACAGCTGTTCACTTGCTGTCTACCAGGCACTGACACACACTCATTTACAAGAGGCAGACATATGGAGAATGGTGTTGCTGCATAAATGTACATCCAGGTTCCCTATAAATAAACTCTTATTTTCCTCCCTCCCTCACGCTCTCTCACTCTTCTCGCTCTCTTTCTCTCTCTGTCTCTCACCCTCTCTCTACCACAGATGTTTTAACAGCAGGCTGGCTCTTTGTCAAATAAGAAATAGAAAGAGAGAGAGAGATTTAGGAAAAGAATGACTGGAGAAACAGATGCTGTAAGCTAAGGGGATGGATTGGTAAACATTCAGAGCCAAGCATTGGCACATGACAATAAGAGCTGGACTGATGGACAAATGTCAAACGTTAATGTAGTTTGACATTTTAAGTTATCTTCATTCTGAAATCTTTAAGGAGACATAAATTTTTTCTGCTGTCACCATTTCAGCAGCTCTGTCGTAGCATCTACAAAGATACACCAAAATAATGATGAAAAAAAGTGTCTAAACGTCTGGTCGATTTCGCTGAAGACTCTATCCAGACAGTGAGAAATGGACAAGAGTTTTGTGCACAGTGATTACCAGCTGTGTGTGTGTGTGTAGTATATTAGATGTTTTGGATTGTATTTTAGAGAGAATGGGCCATTATGAATACAATCTATTTCCATGTCAGACAATGCCTTTAATACACTCGCCAGGCTCGCTTTAAATGGCGCACACACTATCCTTCTCACTTACACAGATACACATGTGGCTGGTGCGTTAATAGTGCATCTGTCTGTGGTATCTTCAGGAGAAAGACTGAAAGATAAGCTGGCAACAAGCTGGCAACAGTATACAGAAGCATCTGTGCTTCTTTATTAATCCCCCCTCTTCCCTCCAAACTTTCTTGTTGCATCCTGTGGTACTTGTTTCCTTTATAATTCTCTTCAGCACACCCCGCCTCCTTCCTTTCTACCTTCCCTCCTTGTTTCTTTTATCTATTCCTCCCTTCTTTTCTTTTGATTTATGGGTCCTGAGTGTCCCCGTGTCTGTGTTTGTCCTGCCTCAGCCAGATATCATCAGCCTCTAATCTTTGTGTCTTCTGTCTAGACTCACCGTGGAAGGTCTACCTATCAGAGGTCGACGCTGTGGTGACCGAGGTATCGGTGGGTGGGCTCACACCTGCCAGGACCTATCAGTTCAGACTTTGTGCTGTCAATCAAGTGGGCAGGGGTCAGTACAGCGCCGAGACGCAGAGGTAAGACCATAATATGCACATTCAAAGACACATGCAGTCATTGACACAAATTTAGGACGCACACTCACCACCACCAGCTTTATTAAACACAGACTTCACAATTCTTCTTGTGAAGCCAGACCACTATTTCACTGATGTTTTCTTAAAAGCATGAAACCATTTTTTTTTATGTGGAACATGCTGTGATGTGTGTGAAATAGAGATTTTTTTAGCCTGTTCCTTCTCTGTGTAATAGACTTGGTCACACTGCCTTACACAAACTGGGAATGAATAAACTGGAACCTTTCTGCAGTCAAAAGGCATAGTGTATGCACATCCACACACTCTAATTTGTGTATCTAAGTGTGTGTGTGTGTGTGGAGTGTATTTTGCCACGAGCATAGATAGGGACACGGTATTCAGAATGAGGATGAAACAGGGATGGATTCTAACAAGGCGAGTGCGAAGGGAGCGGCCTTTTTTTTTTTTAATCCTTGCAGTGAACAATTGATATTCATCACATGCATGCTGTAGATGTCTACGTGATGGCATGTATACGTGTGTGTATTTCCATGCCAGTCTTTTTCCATTGCACATAGTGAACTAAACAGCAAAAATGATTAAATTAACTAATCTCCGTGTCTGTGTGTGCGAGTGTGTATAAAAAAGGGAAGTGTGATTTGGCCTGAAAAGTAAATAGATTGCTGTGCAGATGTTTTATGTGTGCCCGTGTGTGTGTGTGTGTGTGTGTGTGTTTGCATGTTTATCCCAAGAGAAAACACTAATGGGGGTAATTATGATGCCTTAGCACTGATGGAACTGGATAGAGTGAAAGAGGGTTGGAGGAGGTGTGGCAAGCCTCTTAACAATTTTGCCCCTGAGTACACACATACACCAAATATCACTCACACACAATACAACAGATGTGGCTGTGCATTATAACGTGGACACACACACACACACACACACACAAACATGTTTTTTTCTCTGGCTGAAGAGAGTGACCACAGGCAGGCGCCAGTTGTAGTTCTGCCAATCAGTGTCTCAGCAACAACAGCAGCTGTGAACGCTGCCATTACACATTCACACACTTCAGATTACAGTCTCCTGTCAGTTTTATTCTCCTCAGCTTGAGGTTCTTCTACTTTTTGTTCTTGTTGTTTCTGCACTGAATCTTTCGCTTTTTTTGTTTTCATTCACCAACACTCGTTCCTGTTCCTTTCTTCCTCCTCTGCGTACACCAGTGAATTGTTTGTGTCCAACCTAGTCCACCATCCAAAGTTGGTTGTCAGTGGCACTGGAGAATAGATTGGATTGATCCTAGCTAAAGGAAGGACTGGCAGACAGACAAGTCATCACTGGTCAGTGTATCAGAGCAGATGGAAACGTCTCTTCTTTGGTGTTTGTCTCATACGTAACCATCCGCACTTTGTTTTTCATCTGCTGGATGTTTGCCTGGATAAGACATGCACATTACAGTCACAGATGCCAAGGCGCGTGCTGCACTTGACACACAGGGAGAGTGAGGCAAAGGAAAATGTCCTGCAGAAGCTTGGTGCTCCAAATGAGAAGGATGACTAAATGCAGTAATGTGGACAGAGTGAGGGAACGGGACATAGAGGGAAGAAGGAGCTTGTAATATTGATGACTAAAAGCCCTTATTAAAGTTTGAACTTCCAGCTGCTTCTGCACTCTCTCATTTTGTTCTTGTCCTGATTAGGATCTTTATCATAACAGCATTCATTTGTACATTTTTTTTTCTCTTTCTCTTTGGACCATTACCCTGCCTTTCTTGCACAGGGGCATTGTGGCACTAGGGAAGAGTGTTCTGGGAGATGGACACGTATAAGAGTATATGAATAAATGTGATCAAACCTGAAAAACATTACTTCTAAATGCAGGACCTCTCTTGAAGAATCCAATTTTACCATCTGGAGTGTCAAACACACACACACACACACACACCTATCCATGCATGACCTGCACTCATACCATTACCGTCTTTAAAGAGGAGGCATTAACAGAGGAACTATTATGCAGGGGTTTAAAGCATCTGTCTCAATTCCCTTTTCTTTCGCTCTTATTTTTTATTCCAACTGCCCGACCAACTCGCTCTCACTCTCACCTTTTCTTTCTATCATACACACTTTAATACTTCAGAGGGTTCATAAGGAGATTTAAAGATTTACAGGAGATTTGTCCTGTTCATGTAAATCTTGAATCTTGAATTATATATGTATGTATATATATGTTTAACTGTAGCCACGGCTGTGCTGAAGCTGAAGGTGTCTATAGCATGAAGAGTAAAGCAGGAACATCAAGGCATTTGCAGAGGGATGGCTTGCACTGAGAAAGACTCTCCCAGATGAGGAAGAGCTCATTATTTGTCCAGAATAATGGTGGCGATTACAGGCATTTCTTCAGCTTTTCTCAGTGTTTTCTTTGCTACGAAACGAACAGAGAGAAATTGTTGCAGGAAATACATTAAAGTTCAGTCCACTCTG